ATCGTCGCTAAATGGTCGAGTTATATTAATAACTTTCCACTTCTATCCAATCTGTTGAAAAAAAGTCCACTGTTTTTAGTTACGCTATTCTTTCATCCAATCGACGATACTTGGATCTACAGACCGAACAAATTTCCTTCCTTCCAAACTTATTCTAATTTCATCGTATGCGCGGAATATTTGGCGTAAAACTGAGCAGCTTTTTCCCAAGCATCCAGGAGATATCGCAGCGAATCGCCGAAAACTTTCAACCGATGGTAAACATCAGCAGGGATGGCGGGTTGACTCCCTTCGTTGGAAATACCATTACGTTCCCGAGCTTCATCCCCATCGTGCCCCGTTTCTTCGTCACACCCGTCCCATACAATTCTTCGTCTTCGTCGGACGAGAAGCCGTGGGTTATATTACAAGCCATAGTGGTAACCCTAGCCAGCATGCACTTAGACCCGACCGGTATCCCTCTTGCTCCTTAAATGCCTCAGGATCCCTTTAGGAAAGTATTCCTGATGGCATTACTTCTCACTGGACTTCGAAAAACCAGCCCTCCGGTTTCTACGTAAGCTCAGATACGTCTAACGTAAGTAGATTTCGTGCGTTTGCCGTGAAATACCACGAACGCGGCGCGATTCGATTAGTCAACGAAGAAGTTGCGTGCGTCCTAATGCTCACTGTCTCCAGAGTCGCTGTCAGAAACGATATTTCCTTCAGCCACTAAAGGGATTCTCTTGTACGAGGCTACAAGGTACAGGATAGAGCTCAGATGCGATAGAGTAAAGAGGAAATTGACTGTAAGGTATAAAAGAATTTAAGAAAATCGTATGATTGTAACTGTAAATGTATATAGATGTCTTTATAATAATACAGAAGTAACTATTACTTTTTGATACTTGTCTTGTTACTTTGATACTTTGACAGTAATGACAGTAAAAATCATCTTTCTGCGAAACAGGTCCAATAAATTTAGAACGGAGTGCGACTACGATAAGAAAAGAAGGAAATTATTTGTGAGAAATTTCAACTCGTGTACTGAAGTTGAAACTTGAAAATCCCTTTCTTCTTCTAAAACCAGTAGATCGTAAAAAGACTCTGGACACCCGTACAACGCCTCTCGTTAAAGATTGGCGGGCTCGTTTTAGGTTTGATACGTTCCTTTTCCTCGCCGTTCTTTGAGGACTGAGAAGAACATAATTTCAGGCCACGTTTTATTTCAACGGCGAAGTGTTTGTCGTTGAGCGCGCCAGGTTGGCCTTCCTCAATAAAATAGAAAGCGTTTGTGGCGTGGATACCGTGGATAATAAGATGAACATTGAAATACGCATGGCCTGTGAGATGAACCGGCGGCCTTCAAAGGGTTACTCAACGCTCGGGATTGTATCTCGCCGGCGTGGAAACCGTAATTACCTTCAAATGACGCCGTTAAGCGCAAACATTTAATCCGGACGAACGCAATGAAAGGCATTAAAACAAATCCACTTCCGGGTAATGTAGAAATTTCAGTGAAATAGATGGCCGTTCGAGAATCTGATTGCAATTTTACCTCAGCTACTTTAACTTGCGTCGTACATCAAAAAGATAGGGAAATGGTAGAAAGGAAAAAGAGGGAAATTAACGAAGACGACCGAAATGCGTAATATGACCAGTTTGCAAATATTGGGAATATTTAACGTATACCAGGTCCATGACTCGGTGTTTCGTTTACTATTTTATTAGGTATTATAGATTAGATTATCGATACATAATGTTATTCTGACAGAAAGTTACGAGTTTAACAGCAATTTTCGTTGATAAACAAGATATTTAATTAATTAAATACCCAAGTTAATAGTTGAAAGGTAATGCACGTGCATAGGTAAATAATGGTTAACAATAAACACAGAGGGGGTAATTATATTTGTTATATTTAGGTTAGGTTATGTTAGGTTTAGGGGTTGTTATATTTAGATCAAAAAGATAATGAAATAGTTAAGAGGGACCCGGTGCAACCTCATCTCGGCTTGAATTTGTTCTTCAAATGAATATCTCGCAACAAAAGTTCACTTTCTCTATGTCGTTCATTTTTTTTTCTTTATCATGCTGGCGACTATAATAATACTATTACGAAGATTCCATGCACTACCTTTTTGCTTCGTTTTATCACTTTGCTTCTTCTTTTCTTCGCTTTTACCCCTTTGTCTCGACCAATTCACAATCTTCCTTCCATTTTCTCTTATTTTCTTTCTGGACCTTCAATAGCCGCAAGTTGCACCATTAACGTGTAAACTATAAAGTGCGGTCTCTGTGTTTCGTAACTGTCGGAAAAATCCGTCGTTTCAGCGCGTGATAACCCGTTGCTCGAATTCGACGATAAGTTTCGTCGCCGTTCGGTTCCAATTTTCCCTCGCAAACCAACCGACACTGACCCGCTTCCAACGAAACGGACCACGTATCTAGTTGCAAGGCACAAATAACGGAAGTAAATGTCAGCAGGAACGGCGAGGATGCTTCTCGTGTTTTATAAATGGTAATTGCGCTAACACTCGCTTGAAACGATCGAAAGATTGCTACTTACGAGAAAATTGTCGTGGTATCTTCTTCGTTGCAGCAACAGTTACTGTAACGACTGGGAGAAATTTATAAAGATTGTTGCTAGGTTCGATTTATTTAATGTCTTTTAATTAGATCGAAGTTTCGAAGTGCTGAAATTAAATTCTCACTTAACCCCTTGCTATGTGATTTTAAGATATACTCAGATTCTGTGAAGATAATTTTAGACTAGAATTGATAGTAAGTTTAGATTAATTTTACCTTCATTTTCAATTCTCAGATTGAGAATTGTTAAATACAGGCTTTGTAGAATATTTCTATACTACGTCGTTTAACAAGGTGTTACAATGATCAACTAACCCCTATTTATATAGATACTAGAGAAAACGAAGTATTGTGAAAATTTTTTTTGGGAATATAATTTACGATAATCAACGTCCTCATATTCGCCATACATTAATTGATTTACTATTAAGTGATTAGCTGTGACATCAAATTAATTGCAGCAGCTTCTATGAAGTTATCGAGGATTTCTTATATTTCATTTTTAATTCTTATCAAGGAGATTTTATTTAATATGAGAATTTTCCAAAACTGTTTAGCAAAATCTTTATACGTGTATACGGCTAATTGATATACAAGTGAAAGGAGTACACTGTCAGCAATATCCGATTAACCTTTGAAACAGTTTCTTAGAAACTTGCGCCGTATCGTTTAGATCGTGGCACGACCTCGTTCGTCAACTAAATTCCTGCGCGCTGCGACTTCTGAATAAAGGATACAGAAAGAAGGAATTATATTTCCATAAATGCTCGTCTGGGACGCGTAAAAGATGTAATTTCACGGGGGAATTCCAGGTTGTTGGATTAATAAAAAAACACCAGCTTTATTTGAATACCACCCTTAATCTATCGTAGTATTATTATTTCAGTTTATAAATAAACATATAAATTTACCGGTTGATATCTTTAGCTTGAAATTTCATTATATTTATTTGTTGTTTCGAATGTAACTTCAAAAACATAAGTTACGATCACTAATCCAGAAATTCACACAATTTTAAATTTCACACGATACTCTAAATTAAATACCAAAGTTTTTATTTAAACGATCAATAATTACCAAAGTAAAGTATGGATTGCCAAGAATACAATGCATCGAAAGAAAAGAGCAGCACGATGATGGAACGCTATTTCGCTGGAAGGAGGAGAGAAGCTTTTCCGTAGTTTACCCAGCGTTTCTCGCGAGCATTCCGCACTTTGTGCTTTAGCGTTTGTTCCGTTAAATTGCTTTAAACGCTATCGTGGCGCTCCAATGGAGCAAACGACCTGCCACGGTGTTAACCTTTCGTTGGTCAGGCTATAACCTTTATCTGGTGACAAAATCGGTAATAATCTCGACCAATGAGTACCACCTCTGGCGACTCGTATTTCGAGAATTTCGACCAGGGAATTTCGTTCGCAAAGTTATCTGAATATTTACGAGATGTTTGTTCGGATCAGACTTGCAGCATTCGTTGTAAATAAATGTAAGTGTATACAAAGGTGTATGTGTATATATATATATACGAGTTATTTGTTTGAGTAAAAAATTTCAACGATAGCAAAGGACTGGGGTTGTCGGGTACCGTTATCGTCCTCGCGTAAACGGTTCTTCTTTCTATTGCAATTGTACAGAAAACGAATGTCTCCTGCAGTGGTACATACTGTAAATATCAGTTTGCCTTGACTGAGCACCAAGTCGTTACAAACGATTTACGAGCCATTCTGGAGGCCAAACTGTCCTGACGCAACATAAGCATTAATGTTCGGAGGACGATTACTCGATGTGCTACTAGGTCACTGTTATTTCTTGAACCGAGAAGATAAAACTAGCTAAGTCCTTTTTGGATGAAATAATATCTTTTAAATAGATTGTAAGAGATAAAACAGAAAACTGAGCTTTTCTAATACAAAATACATTTCTTTTTAAATATAAGTAGACTGAGTTACTATTTACACACGTAACAAGTATTAGGTTATCCGAAAAGGTTCTTTCGTTTTATAAAGAAATAATAAACGCACAATTTTTTTTGTTTTATATTAGCTTATTGAATTATGCACGAACATAATAATAGAAATATAACGAAATGGATCATACCCAATTCAATAAAATAATATAAAACAGAAATTGTTGTTCATGTATTATCACCTTATGAAACGAAAGAAACGTTTCGAACAACCTAATACCTGTTATTCGTAGAAGAAAATGTTTTCTGATTATTGAAAAATTGAAGATCTAGCAAGTTTTCGGGATATTGCTTCGGGATACTCGAGATTTCTTGTGTCATAAAATTATTACTTTTTGTTAATTCTTATTTCGAATAATTTTATATTGATAAATTTGCGGCAGTGAAATTATGAAGATTGATCGAACATGCATAATTTATCAAGGATACCAGAATGATGTTAGAAGATTAAGGAACATAGTGTACTCACGTAAACCTACGTCTGACATATTATACAGCTTGATTCCTGTGTTACGCATGCAGATGTATGCTGTGGGTCGGAAGATTCAGATCGCATTTAATGTTCATAATTTCTGAAATAAAACAAATTAAAAGATAATGTGTTTGTATCCTGATTCATTATTTCTTATATCTGGTAGGTTTAATAATCGTTTGCTTTCTTCTGCACAATAATATGTGTCTTTTATCCCTGTGAGCGAAAATATTTTATTACTCTTTTGTACAACTGCTATTACGCTGTTTCTTAGATTATGGAATCTTTCAATTTGAAATTATTTTATTTCCGCTCAGCAATACTCTTGAGAATATATGCCCGAGAGCGACCCAAAGAAAGAGTTTCTTTCTAGAAATACGTGGAAGAAAAAGAAGAAACAGAATCAATGAAAGAGGAAGAAGATAATGTTAGAAGTTAAAATAAAAATACAAAACTGTGCAAACAGAACCAAGATAAGCGGAAAAAGATTTGCAAGCAAACGAAAGAAAGAAAATAAAAAAGGAAAGGAGGACAGTGAAATAAAAATAGGATCTTCCATCCTGCGCCATCGCTTGTCTTCGATTTCTTCCAGCTATTGGTAGTCCTGAAGGTGTAACGTAGGTATATAAAAGTTGGTTTACGATCGAATCACGCGGCCAAACCGACGCGACCCAAAATCGATGAGAACTCGTAAAAGTGCATCGATTCCTTCGTCGGCGAGCATCGGTAAGAAGAAGGCAAATGAAGGCTTAGAGAGGAAAGGGGGTTTACGTCTAGAAAGATTGATTCCAAGATGTGGGGAAGTGGTGCCTGTCATTTGCTCGTTCGGCTTAACGAAATGCGTCCCGTCCTATCTACCCACTGCATACCAAGAAAACAGTGACCGAGCTTACCAATGCGGATTCCAAGCTTTCAGACGTAAAATTTTCTAAAACCAATTTTTGCGACCTTTGATGAAATGGATTTGATGGAATATTCCAAGGAATTTTCAAGATATCTACATTTGATATCTAACTTGCCACAGATAAATTTTTATAAAGTCATGAATAAGAAGATGAGAGATTCTTTCAAGATATCCATATTGTAGAGATTTATTTAAATTTATTATTTCAGAAATACTTTTAAAATATCTATATTTCACATCTAGGTTATAATAAAAAAATCTTGGGTGACGTTATGAAGAGAGAAACAAGAGATTAATTTTTTACAAAATTATACATCGGTGGCCTATATTATAAAGAAATTGTTTCAAATATATACATACGTCTTCTATGGCTCATGATTGACTAAAATCGAAGTGGACTATAAATAACGTACCTGTCCTCTATAATATAATTGGTTCCTACGTATCCTAAATAACATCTAACCGACACATTCAAAACGTTTCCCATTATACATCAGATGTTCCTATATCCCAGATTCCCTTTTTCTTATGAGTACAGTCATTCTCACCAACACCCACTTTCCTTCTTCGAACGACACCACCGCATATACCCACAAAACCTACCAAACATCAGCGAGACGTGGTGTCACTTGTATCATTATAAGCTGAACAAGCCACGTAACACGTGCGCGTTAATACGCCCGGCTTCAAAAATCTGCTCACCAAAATCCCGCGAAACAAAAATGAACCTCGTTATCTTCAACACGAACATTCTCCGTTTCCGAACAATAGAACCAAGTCGATCGGCCTGGAATCTGTAGATAAAAAAGACAATTGACTACTGGAAAGAATAAAGCGTGGTCCTCCAGAAGTGCTATCACATTTGATCTCTCATGAATGCAAGAATAAAAGCGTAGGAATAAACAGGAGTACGTAATTTTGTGAAATAAGGGTAACGAAGAACGAGCTCTCTTCTTGTTTCGTCGGAGTTATACGCGTCCCCGATGGTCGTACGCTAAAAAACATACGCGAGCCAGGCGTAGTCGTAAAAAGAAAAGGTTATGCCTGGTTTTACACCGGACCATAAGTGAAATGTGCATCCGGCGGCGAAGCTCTCCCGTTACGTATATGACAGGCCAACTTTCGGGTGAACTCGGGCGCGCGGATTTACACGTCCGCGAAATCACTATCTCCGTTCAGCGAGCGTGGAACCGAGCTACCAGTCGCTCATTGTGTGTACGTTACGTCTTTAGCCTAGTTCGCGAACAGAGGCACGCTGTCGTAATCCCTTCGCTGGTTTATCGCAAAATTTCCGAATTACGCGGTCGCGTACACACGTGATGTACAAGATTCAACAACGCGGCGCGGAGACGCGATGAAATTTACGCGGTTCCCGCGACGGTGAAACTTCACGAAACGAAGATAGTTCGTGTTTGTAACAGTTACTTTTCATTAGGTTTTGTGTCTAGCGGAGGCAACTGGTTGATGGAGGGTCGATTTCTCAATTTTTATTGAGAAAGTAAAATTTGTCTTTAATTATATTTAATGTATGTAGTTGATTAGTTCGGTACTCGAAGAGTAGAAATATGTTATTTTATGAATAATGAGGATGTAATGGCATGAACTACTGAGTATTTAAGTTTGACAGTTAAGTTAAGACATTAATAAGTTAGACTTTAAGGTAAACATACAGGTGATAGGAATTAATATATTATATTATGTACAAACGTTGGATAATTGTAAGATATTAAATCTAGAAAATGTACGAGGAAGTGCAATCATGTATTTTATGTATAATACGACAAAATTGCAAGCAAATCTCGATCTAAAACTTAGAACAATATAGTAAAGTCTCGTTCATATTAATTAAACTACTTGCGATTGAAGAAAACGAGAAAGGATTTGATGACTAAAGAGGAAGATAGAAATTTAAAAAAACATTTCAAGCCAGACATATCACTAGTAGAAGATCACTAGTAAGGTCTCAAGTTGTTTGAATTCAAATAAAAGTATCATACAGAAAACAATACGCGTCTCTGTGCATATTCTGCGTCGTCAAACGTAACAAAATTCATTGGACCATGGCGATAAACGGGGCCATTCCATACCCATAGGCTCTCCCCAAGTGCAATCATCATAACGACGACACGACACAGCAACTCTCTCATCACTTAGAAATCTATGTCATCAAAGAGAACGGGTTAATCTCCTTTACGTGGTCCGGATGAAAATTCATGAGCTAAGTAGCAAGAACTTGGAGCAGGTTTCTTCGAACGTAGAACCGAAACGTATTTCGGAGAGTGCACGGTAAATATCTGCGGGACCCTTTTAGTTCGGCAAACGCGTGTTAACAGAGAAACCACGAGAGATAGAAAGAGAGAGAAGGAAAGAAAGAGAACACCGTTAGATATAATCGAGAGGGGCTTCCGATGGTCGAGACCGATGCGACGACTGGGGACAGGATAGCGTTTTCTCTAGCTGAAAGTCGCTTTACTTCATAATCGCCCAGTTACACGGGGAATTACCATTGTCGTGGGGCTTGCGACGTCGAGTACTGTGAACGTGTCTTTAATCCAAGGAGACTCACCTCCGCTTCGTGGAGGGGGTTTGTGGATAAAAGGGGCGAAGGTACGCAGAGAAGGGGATGACAGAAAGAGAGAGAGAAAGAGAGAGAGAGAGAGACGCAGAACGAGAGGATAGGCAAGTTGTGGCAACGTAACAGCCGGCAACCTTTCCTTCCTTCGACGTGCTCTCTCCGCATTAAATATGCATGCCTGACTTGACTGCGTCCTGCGGGAAATGGAGATTTTATTACTCCGGTACAACCTAATGTCTCGTGCAACTTTGAATTACCGTTGTAGGACGAGGCTACGCAGACGCTTAAGCGCTTCATAAACGTTATTACTAACGTAGGACAACGAGAACTGTGTGCTTTCCACAATCATACGTTTTGATAAAGGTGAGAGGAATTGCTTGTGCAAGGTGACTAAGTAGTCTTATTAGCAGTGTTGACGCTTTGTGCCGGTTTAGCAGCTGTTCTAAAAGAAAATCTTGGACTACTGCGATTATTCATAAGTTCGTGACAAATTATTTTTAGGAAGGTTGTATTTTAATTGAACGGAGAGATTCCATTGTTGCGATAAGAAAGTGAGTGAGCATGCATCTACATTCATATATATTTATCGCAGAACGATTTCATTAAATAGGACTCTCGCTTGCTTTGAATGCGGGCGGATCATTTTAAAATTCCTGATCTATGCACAAAGATAATTATTGATATCGTAATTATCATCAAACGATTCACGAAACTAGCAAAATTTCTCGTTGAACATGCGAATATCCTTTATTGCTGAACATCCTGGAGAAGAGGGGATATTTTCATCCCTACTATCCTGCGATAAAAATAGAAGCCTGTACTTCTGTATGAAATGACTAATAGGTTTACCGATACTGTCATAAAACAGAGCAAAGAGGAGAGGAAAGCCATTTTGATTGAAATCTGCTGGTGGACTCACCGACAAGACTTAATAACAGATCAGACTTTGATGTCAGAAGAATGAAAATCCAGACGAGACCGGCAAATATTTTTCAAAATTCTATTTCTGGTAAGGAGCGTAGAACGATGGTACTGAAATTTTAGAACGTTTCATATGACGCACATAATATATTTATAAAAATTACCCATAAGTGCTCGTATAGTTCCGTGAACCTGTATAGCCTAGAATTATAGGGGCGTTTGAATAAAATTAGCGATAGAGGAACGCGATAGCCCTCATTATTCGATGGAATACGTTAATATATGGCTGGTCACACGTGTTGGTTGTCCGTGATTGTACATGAACAATAGAGTTCGGCGTAGTGCAAACAGCCGGTGTGTTATTATGAGTTAGAAGTGTATAAAACTGGCGACAATGACACCGATGATAGCGATGACGCGTTCATTATCCGTGATTCGACCGGATTGTGCGGCTCTATCGGCGGGCCTCAGTTGATAAATGCGGTAAAGAGATAGAGTTAATTCGGTGTTATCGAAATGCAATTTATGCGCACGCGATTCGGCCACGGAACGCGGGAGGACGCGCGAAAACGCGATATCATTTAACGTCAACGTTCACCGTGGTCAGCGTTGTATGTATCTCTTCTAGATCATCCGTATCGTTGATTCTTCAGTCGACCAGCCACCGAACCACCAGCACCAATTAATTGATTTATGAAAT